GAAGGTGAAAAGATGGGTGTATGTGGAAATAGACCCGGAGGTGAGGAGGATGGCTTGGAAGCATGCACAGATACTGCAGCAGCGGTACCCAGCTCAACTGGCGAAGGAAGTGATACGGGAGGCCATGCAGAATGAGAAGTGGGATGTGGGACAGCTTACCAAGGAAGACGTGAACCGCTGGGGAAAGGTGGACCTGTTGGTAGCAGGGTGGGAGTGCCAGGGTACTTCCCGAGCGGGGAAGGGAAGAGGAATGCAGGATGACCGCACGGCGATGGTGACAACACTGCTGACGATTATGAGGTGGGCGAGAGAATCTGGCGGGGAATATGCGTACATCCTAGAACATGTGGATATGAGGAGTGATAGCAGGGAGCCGGTCCGAGCCGTACGCGAACTGGTGGAAGCAGAATTGGGAAGGGGAGTGAGTTGTGACGGGGCACAGCTGGGGGCAAGGTGTCATAGAGTGCGGCAGTACTGGCAGAACGTCCTGCCAGAAGGAGAACTGAGGGCGAGATTAGCAAGGGTGGAGAGAGATGAGAGCCGAATCGTGGAAGACATTCTGGAACCAGGGAGAGTGGCCGCCCCAGTGGTAAAGCCAGATCATCCGCGACAGTATCAGTGTAACCGAGTGGGGGAAGCGAGGAGGGCCTGGCCGACACTGGTGGCCTATGCAAAGGCACGGGGATTTGTCGAAGTGGAAGGGACTCCAGGTCCAGGGATGGTGTATGATCACCGTAAGAAAAGATGGGAGGAGCCGACTGCTTTGGAGAGGGAATTAGCCATGGGGTACCTGCCGGGGGCAACTGCAGCAGATGGAGTAGGGGAGGAGGTGCGCAAAGCTGCCTTGGGCCGAGCCATAGACCAGCACTCACTGCGATGGCTAATTAGTGAGATGAGAAAGGGGCCAGCCGAGAAAAAGGGAAAGACGGAAGAGGAGAAGTGCAGGGGTAGCAAGCAGGCTGCTTACGCCGCTGTCAGCAAGCTCACAGACGAGAAGGAGATCAAAACTGCACCACCAGTAGGGACGGAAGCAGAGCCGGGCAAAACCTGGGAGCTGGGGGCAGGTATAGGGGAGCAAGCAGCCGAAGCAATCAGGGAGGTGTTGCAGCAGCATAGGGGCACCTTCGCCTATAACCTGCAGGAATTGGGGAGATACAAGGGGAGAGAGCTGGAGCTGAACCTCACGACTGAGCTACCTACATACCAACGCAGGAGGCGAATGAATGCGGAGGATGCAGCCATCTGCAAGGAGAAATGTGAGGAGTTGCTAGCTGCAGGGATTATTCGCCCGTCAGAATCAAGTTACGCGGCGGCCACGGTGGTGGCTGCTAGGAAGGACATCACGGGAAAGATTCTAGCGAAGCGGATGTGCGGGGATTTTCGGGAGCTGAACAAGATTACAAGCCCAGACAGATACCCTATGCCGACTGCTGAAGACATTTTCGACCGGCTGGAAGGGGCCACCGTCTTTACCACCTTGGACCTGCGGCAGGGCTTCAATCAAATAGGCATTAGAGAAGCAGATAAACGGAAAACAGCATTTCACGGGGTGGACGGTTTGTATGAGTACAACGTTATGCCTTTCGGGCTTCGTAACGCACCAGCAGTGTTCCAGAGAGCCATGGATCAAGTGCTGAAGGGGGTTCCAGCCGCAGCATGCTACATTGATGACGTGTTGATTTACAGCAGCAGCAAAGAACAGCATGTGCAAGATCTGAAGCAGACTCTGGAGGCAATAGCAGCTGCGGGGCTGACGTGTCACCCAGATAAGTGTAAGATAGCGAGGCACACGGTGGCTTACCTGGGGTTTGAAGTGAAGGGCGGTCGGCTGGCCATACAAGAGGCAAAGGTTAAGGTGCTGGAGAACCTGGCAGCGCCAAAGGATAAGACAGGGCTGCGGGCGTTACTCGGCTTCCTGAATTATTACAGGAAGTTTGTGTCAAACTTCAGTCGCCGTGCCTACGTGCTGAACCAACTGCTGAGGGAAGGGAAGAGCTGGCAATGGGGAGAGGTGGAGGAGGCAGCAAGGCAGGACTTGCTCGAAGCAGTTAGGACAGGGACCTTACTGCAGATACCGAGGGCAGAAGCGCCTTTCATCCTGTACACGGACTGGAGCAGTACGGGAATGGGAGCGGTGCTCTGCCAAGAAATCGAGGGAGAGGAAAGAGTGATAGCCTTTGCCAGCCGAAGCTGCAGCCCATCCGAGGCTAACTACTGCTCATACGAGGGAGAGGGCCTGACGGCAGTGTGGGGAATCACGCATTTCAAGGTATACCTGCAAGGCCGGCACTTCACATTAGTGACTGATCATCAGCCACTGCTATGGTTGATGACTAATCAAGAGCTGACGGGAAGAAACGCTCGATGGGCTATCAAGTTGTTGGGATTTGACTTTGAGATCCGGCACCGACCGGGTAAAACACTGCAGCATGCAGATGGGCTGTCAAGGAACCCACCACCGATGCAGCCGGTAGCGCAGCTGGCGGCCTTAGCCCACACCGTGGCCGTAAGCTGGGGGCAGGAGAAGGGAGAGAAGCGGTTAGCAGATATATGGGAGGACGAGGAGACCATGAGCTGGATCAAAGGGGAGCCACTGGAGGAGGAAGGCGTAAGTGAGAGAGCAAGAGCCAGAGGGCAGCATTACAGATGGTTTCAGGAGCAGCTGCAGCTGAGGACCAGCGAAGGATGGAGGGTAGTGCCGCAGCCGCAAGAGAGGAACAGGATCATGGGGAAGGTGCATGCGAAGCTGGGACATTACGGCATCACCAGGACACGGCAGCTGCTGAGCACCATGTACTGGTGGGCAAGCATGGGGAAGGATGTGGCAGGACTGGTAGCCAGCTGCGAGGCTTGTCAAAGGAATAAAGCAAGGCTGGAAAAGGAGAGGGAGGAGCTGCACTCACTACCGATTCGGGGGTTAGGTTACAGGTGGTCGCTGGACCTGGCAGGAGAGTTACCATTATCAAAAGGAGGGAAGCAGTACATCCTGATCATGGTTGAGCACACGAGCAAATGGGTGGAGGCGCGAGCATTACCAAGCAAGAGTAGCGCACTGATAGCGGACGCATTCGAGGAGTTAGTACTGACCAGGTACGGTGCATGTGGGGAGGTGCTTACCGATCAAGGGACAGAATTTCAAGGGAGCTTTGATGAGCTGCTAGAGGAGATGGGCATTACGCATCGTGTCACCTCAAGGTATCACCCTCAATCGGACGGGCTGACAGAGAGGCTCATACAAACCGTGAAGAAAGGACTTCGGGCCTATGGAGAGACACACAAGAGGAGTTGGGACAGGGATCTCTGGTGGGTGCTTGCGGGATACCGGTTTGCGAAGCAGGCAGCGCTGAAGCATTTGTCCCCGTATCATCTACTGTACGGACGGGACCCGGTGCTACCTGTGGATGCACCGAAGCTGCTCTCGGCGACGATTGAAGCGGACGAGCCGAGCCTGTGGGCGGGATTAGCGGAGAAGAGGGCGAGGTATCTGAAAGAGCTGACTCCAGCTGCCTTGGATAATCTACACGTGGCGCAGCTGAGGGATGCAAGGCGGTACCAGCAGCGCAAAGCAGGAGGGATGGGAGGAAAGAGTCACCAAGTGGAAGCGGGGCAGGAGGTGTACCTGCGCAGGGCTAAGCGAGATACGCTGGACTTAGCTGTGGGACCGGAGCGATGGAGGGTGAAAGAGGTAAGGGAGTCGGGGGTGCTAGTGCTGGAGGATGATCGAGGGGAGTACCTGAAGGAGCATATCACCAACGTGGCAGGGCGGGAAGGGAGAAGCCTCAGGCATTGGATCCCGTGTCTGGAGCAGCTCGGGTGCGTGCTCAGTCACGGGAGGGGGCAGGGAAGCCTGAGATACGAGGAGGGGATCAGAACAGAGTGATTACATACGCCAGGAGGAAGAAGGGATGAGCCGGTCACCTGGATGAGAGGTGGAGGGAGAGGGAGTGAGGAAGTCAGGCAGGGATGCAAGGGAGAGTGAGAAGGAAGGGACAGCAGAGGGGATTCACGACAGCTGTCGCGTGATTAACACTTAGCTGGCAACTAAGTGTGAATTACACAGCAGCCAAGGTGAGGTGTACTATAGTTTACTGCTTTTTGCATTTTACTTTGTTTGCTCTTTTGGAATGTTACTGTACTATACAGAGTCGAGCTGCTGAGGATTTCGAGGTGGTTGGGGGGGAGGTTGGTGGCGAATTCGATTCCAGCCAGCCTGGGAATTCAATTCGCCATTCACCAGGCTGGAAGGCGGTGCATGCCTAGTGGGCCGAGTGGGACCCAGCTAGCACCTTGAAGCCTACGCGATCAGCTCGGCTGACTCGCGCTTAGGAGTAGAGGTAGCTTGCGGGACAAGGCACCTAGGCAGGAGGGGATGTAGACTGGGGTAGCGCTCAGACTCGTTGCTTTTTGCTTGTATGTTTCTCGTTTACTGCAATTGTGATTTCCTAAACCACGGGGAACTAGCAGTAGAGAGGAGCTGAAGCAAATCGGCGGAGCCCTTGCGAGGGAGTTAAGTCTTGTTTCGCTGTCGTGAATCCCCTCTGCTGTCCCTTCCTTCTCACTCTCCCTTGCATCCCTGCCTGACTTCCTCACTCCCTCTCCCTCCACCTCTCATCCAGGTGACCGGCTCATCCCTTCTTCCTCCTGGCGTATGTAATATCATGTTTTGAACATCGGGGATGAGCTGATTCATTGCCACGCCCTGGACTGCAAGGAGAGAGGGAACCAGGGGAAGAAGGAAAGAGGGGCCAAGGCAAGTATGGGATAAACGATCTGTGTGGGAAGAGGGGCAGAATGGCATGAGAGGGAACAGGGACACGGGCAAGACCTCGATGTTGCAGGGTGCTTTTGAGAATTCTCGACCCTGCAAGACCTCGAGGTAACGGGAACGGTCTTTATGATGTGAGAGGGAACGGGGCAGAATGATGTGAGAGGGAACGGGGCAGAATGATGTGAGAGGGAACGGGGCAGAATGATGTGAGAGGGGACGGGTTCGGTCTTACTTTCGATGTCCTTGCATGCTTTGTAGGCGGCATTCGCGAATTCCTGGCAGACAGTCATACTGATCTCTCCCCCCTTCTTCACTACGTAGGTTCCTGAATCTGCAAAGGAACAAAGCCAAAAGAAATGTTAATGTGGCCAATGTGGCTGCGCATTTCCAGCAACAAAATACTCCCTGAAGAAGGACCCATCTGATAGGTTCTGAAACTGCTCAAAACAAAATACTAGGAAAATCAATAATGCGACAGAAAGAGGCAGCGATGCGAAGTGACGAAGAGAAGCAGCACTCGCCTGGGTTGCACCTGGCGCCGCAGATGATCCTTTATGTGGCTTCAAAATGCTTCGCACTGATTTGTACAACATCTCATTAACCGCGATGCGATGAAGCAACACTCGCCTGGGTTGCACGTGGCGCCGCAGATTATCTTTTCAATCATGAGCATGCACTGGGGGTACGGCTGAAACGCGTCGCACACCTGACGGGACGCGGAGGAAAGTGCCGAATGGGGGGAAAGAGGGGGGTGGGAGAGGGCTGGGTGGGTGGAGCGAGGGAGGGAGGAGGAGATTGGGGGGGAGGTGGGGAGGGGGGGAGATTGGGAGGAGGGTGGGGGGAGGGAGGGGGGGTTGCAACCCTAGTAAGGTTACATCGACCCACATGCATTGGAACATTGGAACCCATGTGCATGTGGGTCAATGCAGCCTTACTAGGGTTGCAACCCCCCGTCCCTCCCCCCACCTTCCTCCCCAGCACCCGGTGCTGAAAAATTATGTGGAGATGGGTGTCGTAAATTGCTGACATTCTCTGACAGATCCAGCTGCAGAGGTGCGGTCGCGATGTACGGTTCAGATTGAACCAAGACCCGCAGGTGGGGAACCGCTGCAGCGCCGGAACCCCCCCGCAGCAGCGGAACGCGGGGAAAGCCGCGTACCATAGGGGTGAGATCTATTATGCCGCTGCAGGGGATATTGGGGTCGATCCGTTGCGCGACATCGTCGAGGGTCGACGACACGAGCTGCAGCGCGCGATTCGTGTCCGCGCAGTCCGCGCAGCATGACAGCTCCGCCGCCGCGGGGCATCGGTGCGGCGGAACGACGGGCTTCTTCGGCGGAAGGCCCGAGAGCGCGCAGAGATCGGCGGCTGCGGGCGCCGCATGCCGCTCGGGGAGCAGCGCGAGGAGGAGCGCGGCGACTGCGAGAACAGCGAAGCGCGTTGAGTGGGCCATGGCGAATGAGGTCTGGCCAGGCTAGCGAGATCAGGTCGGAGGCACTTTAGCCGGACTGCGTGTTTGGCGGAAGTTCGGAGTTTCAAACTTCGAATAGTTCCGCTTACTAGTTACCCAGTATCTACTTACGAACGTATACACACCTGCTTTCGTCGACCTCAATACTGGCGTGAGGGAGAAATAAGGGTTCGAGGCTCACGGGAGCACGGGAATGCCTCTTCCATTCCGGAAAGGCATTCTGGTGTCATTTCGGAAATCGGAATGTCTCTGCAGAGACTGCTCGTACTGTAGGTGTCATAAATTTTCCTCAGATCTGACAGCCGGACATTGCCTCCCTGGGCATTTTAAAGCGACGTTGCGACGTCGGCCAGCTGGGATTTGCCTGGACCGGCGGCCGGCCAACATGATCCGTCCCGCCACCGTCCGTGAAGTGACTGCGCTGGATTCAGGTTGTTCGCCAACTGGGCCCCGTCACGACTATCTTTCTCTCCGTCACAAGTGCGGCAACACAACAGGGCCCTGAGCTTCCCCCAAATCCCACGCTCCTCGTCCTTCGTGACCTCTCGCGAAGAAAATCGCGACCCAACGAAGTGACATGCGAAAAAATATGCCGTCGCCGATTTCCTGGTTTGGGCTGCTCGTTGAGTGCAACGGAGGGACTCGCAGAACGATTCGCGCAAGCAAAAAAAGCTTCGCCTGCAAAATTCGAACATACACGACACTTCTCGCGAAAAAATCGGACATTTCGTGCCAATACAATTATTCGCCAGCCGCACAGCGAAACCCTGCCCCCCAATAGTAGTTATCTCATGCCAATATAATATTTCTTGCTGAGCTCAAGAAACCTGGTGATGTGTAGAAGAGAGTTCACTGAACATACGGAGTGTACCTCCAGAGTCCTTATAAAATGGATTGCAGTCCAATGCCACCAGGAATGAGAAACAGTTTCAAAGACCTGACAAACCCTTCTCAGAGTTCAGGTAACCACCTGGGTTATTATTTGCAACGTCAATTATTTGCACCATCTACTTTTTGTCCAAATGTGATCTTGAAGTGGTGAAGAACTTCTGAGTTTATAAAAAAATTAGCCAACCTTCAACATCCATCAACCTGGTTGTGTACACAACCCCTGCCACTGAACCAGACAGAACTCCCTCAATGCCGAAAGTCCTTCCCGAATCACCTTCGTAACGAGGATCAACACTAGTGTACCAACCCCTCGTTACACGAACACTGCAGCGCCAACTGCCAGAGCCACCACTGACATCACCGAAGCAGCGGAACCAGACCCGGACTTGGGAGGAGGGGGAGGGGGCGAGGGGCTTGCAGGCGAGGCAGGAGGGGTGCTAGGGGCAACTCCTGGCGCTTGGGGAGAAGGTGGGGGGCCTCCTGCAGTGGGTGCAGGCGCAGCAGGAGTAGGCGGAACAGCGGAAGGCGGAGCGGCAGTAGGCGGAGCGGCAGTAGGCGGAGCGGCAGTAGGCGGAGCGGCAGTAGGTGGAGCGGCAGTAGGCGGAGCAGCAGTAGGCGGAGCGGGACCAGGCGCGGGAGGAGTGGAGGTGGAAGGGCCGGGGGCGGGCTGGGGTGCAACCCCCATGCAGGCGGCAGAATCAATGTTGCGGTTGATGTAGGGCGCGTACTTCACTGTGTCCACTGCCCCCGCAGGGCACTTGGGGTCGACAACGAGGGGGTCACAGCAGGGCGTGTAGGGTGGCGCGGCCGCGGCTCCTGTGAAGCATGTGCTCTGGTGGTGCGGGGTAGGAAGGCGGAACAAGACAGGATCGAGCAAGTCATTGTTAAGTACAGTAGAGTTTGTATGTGGTTAGGCATGTAAAATGTAGTATGCAAGGCCAGGTGGTTGAAAATCAGATGATGCAGTGATAGGCAGAAATGCAGTGAGTTGAGGGGTCCAGGCACTCACAGGAGCTACGAAGAGACCCCATAACCCTAAGTTCTCAACACCCCATGACCACGACAGCTTTGGCAACAACCAAAAACAGCACAAACACTAAGACCACATGTGCTAGGGAGGAAGGACAAGGAGAAAGGACGACTCACAGGAGCGATGGTGATGCTGAATCTCTGGACTCTCCTAACTGCAACGACATTGGAGCGGAGATGACGAGAAACACCATGCAAACTAAGACTCCACATGTTCAAGAGAGCAAGGGCGAAGACTCACAGGAGCGACGGAAATGTTGAAGTTCTTAACACCCATGACTGCAATGACATTGGATACGACCATGGTCATCATGGCCTCCGCGGTTGGGATGATTAGGTTGAGCGCGAAGCCACTGACTGCAAGCGGGAAACAGGAAAGAAGGGAACTCGAAAGGGTGAGGCAGCGGCGTTGGATACAACAGTAGACATTATGGCCTCTGCGCTAGGGATAGCATGTTGCGCGCTAAGCTACCGACTGCCAGAGGGGAGTAGGAATGGAAAGTTGAAGATGACATAAGCTGAACATGGACGCGAGGGAGGATCATAGATCACGTCTTGGATGTGCATGTTTTGCGCGCAGATGGCTTTTGAGTCAACCCAAAAGTCACCTTGTTCAGCACGAAGCTCCTGATTGGGCAGAGGGAGAGATTTGGGCCAGGAGACTAGACCGGTGAGTAAGGACGCGATGGAGGGAGGCCGCGACACTGGCGACGGTCGCGACCTTGAGTGGTAACCACCAGAGGCTCATCATGTCCGACGGATTGCTTCACATTTATTTGCAACATGAGGTGGCCGATTCAATGGACGGTGGAGATGAGCATGCTGGTCGCTGAAGGACAATCGCGATTCTGACAGCGCTGGACAGCTATATATTTGGTTCATGGCCCGTTGGTTGGTTTGTTTTACCGCGCTCTGCGGGCAGAGGGAAGCGAGAAACCGGAAACTTGCGCGAGTACAGGTGCCGCTGATAAAAAATGCCGTCGATTTCAAGTACGCTGAAATCGAACCGCGTGGCATGCGACGCGCGGATTACTCAGAGGTCTTACTTTCGACGCCCCTGAACAAATATTCCGAGCAGACAGCCAGGTGACTTTTGACTCGACTCGATACTCTTTCAACCCGCGGATTTCTGAGAGGGGTCTTACTTTCGACGTCCTTGCACGAATCGTAGGTCGCTTGCGCAAATTCCGGGCAGACCGTCAATATGATTTCCCCCGTCGGAGACTTTTTAACGTAGCTTCCCGAATCTGCAGAGAGAGAGAGAAGAATAAAACATACAAAGTGCGGACTTCGTATCATTAACTGCAAAGAAAAAGTGCACTAATAGTCATCACTCGCAAATAGCACGCTAGTGACGGAACATTCTGAGGAAATCTCTTGCCTGGATTATTTTGTGACGCTTCAAAATAATCGTTTCATACAACAAGGAAAGAAAGAAGGAAAAAAGACACCGCAATATGGCAGGACAGCGAGACGATGCGATGCGGCAGCACTCGCCTGGGTTGCACGTGGTGCCGCACACAATCTCCTCGATCATCAGCATGCACTTGGGGTACGGCTTGAACGCTTCGCACACCTGGCGGAGGGGGAGAGTGAAAATGCCGGGAGCGCAGGGTGTGAGCGGAGAACGGAGGAGGAGCGGGAGGGAGAGGAATCAGGGGGGAGGGAGGGAGGGAGAGAGGTACACATCCATTTACGTCCATCCATGACGGGGGAAGGGACGAAACGCTTTTACAACGGCAACCGAGGTTTGCCTGTTTTTACTCAGCATTGTTCTACATTTATTGCGTCTCGTCGAATACCACTTTTTATTATAGAAGCACTCTCGCGGAGCACGAATTTTATTGAACCAGGTTGTGCGGGTGGGTACCGCAGCGGCAGAACCCCCAGCGGCGAAACGCCCCGGCGGCGGAATGCGGGCTTCGCGCGGTTCGTTTTCGGTTCGCGGTGACTTCGCACTCTCGGATCTGAACACTCACGACAAATGCTGAATGCAGATGGTCTACCGCGGTTCGCGACGGCTTCACACTGTCACAACTATATCATTCATGCAAAAAGGAACGCCTACCATGAGACAAGCATCGGTGAAGCCGCCGAGTTTCCGCTAGCAAAGACTTAACAATCTCAGATCCAAACGAACACGATCAATGCTGCAAGCGGAATGAAAAGCCTACCATGAGACCCGCATCGATAAAACAGCCGAGGGAGGGTTTATCTAGTTGACGACTTGCGCCAGATTATATAATCTTGACGCGCTTCGTTTTTTTTTTAGGAGCTTCGAAGGAAGGCCTACCGTGAGACCTGCATCGATGAAGCCGCCAAGCGAGGGATCGATCTGGTTGACGACTTCCGCGAGGTTCGACGACACCAGCTGCAGCGCCAGACCCGTGTCCGAGCAGTCCGTGCAGCACGACAGCTGCGCCGCGGCGGGGCACCGCGACGGCGGCACGACGGGCTTCGTCGGCGGAAGCCCCGTCAGCGCGCAGAGCGGCGCGGCGGGCGCCGCGTGCGCGGGGAGGAGAGCGACGAGCGCGGCGACTGTGAGAACGGCGAAGCGCGTTGAGTAGGCCATGGCGTGTGATCAGGTGAGGTCGCAGATGGTAACTAGCCGCGGTTAGTTGGTCGCAGATAGCTAGTCTCAGAAGTCGGTTGGTGGATGTTCGGAGATGGTGTTTGCCTCGCCGCGTGCGGCACTTACGCCTTCTTTCGGTCTCTACCAACGTGGAGGAGAAACAAGGCGCGAGGTTGACGGGAGCACGGGCAATGCCTGTGCTACGGATCGAGCAGGTGCAAGAGCGGAGAGAAACCTCGTGGCCCACCAGTGGCGTAAAGCGAGGCTGAGGTCTGGACTGGTCGCTTTTGGCTGGAGGACGAAAGTGCCACGCCACTCTGGTTGGAGGAGGTAAGGGCGATGGCAGGGAGGAGAAGAAGTATCTCTTTTTCCATTTTCAGGATTCTCCTGCCCCGAGTAGACACAGAGAATTATTCGCCTGCCGTCAAGTTGCAGTCAGGTTGGAATTTCCAAACCCTGCAAAGCAGAGGTGCAAGGTGGTGACACCACCGTATGTTTACTAAGTAGACTTCTACGGTGCTGAAATACGGATAGCGGCGAAAAGACTGGGTACAGTAGTCCGATAACGAAATCACCGAATCCAAGCTGTGCCGGATGAGGGCTGGTTCGGTCGGGAAACGGACGGACGGAAGGGAGAGAAAGGGAGAGGAAGGGAACCATCGAGCACACTTCCACGTCGAGTCGATCGAGAGCCCTGGTTGGTTGTCTCGTTCCCCGAACAGACAGACTCGGATCAGGCGTCCAGCAGATCGAAGTGGCTGATTGGTGGGAAGCTATTTGGGAATGGAGGAAGAGAGGGGTGGGGAGCGGTGTGATGAAGGAGCGGAGCGGGGTGCAATGAAATGAAAGGCGCGCAATGAGAAGTGGAACACGAGGCGCGAAGCCCGAAACAGAAGCTTGTACGATTGTGGCGATTGGCTGGTTACTCGTCAATCATTCCCAAGACGCGGATGTGCTACTCCCGACCGAAGCGCCACGGCACCAGCGACTTCAATCTAAGAACACGGACCGTTGAATGGCCTGCTAGTGTGGCACAGGTTTCTGGGAAACAATCTGATAGCAGCAGTGATGTCCACGTAGTGTAGCTGTTATGAGTGCAATTGAGTGAGCGAGAGAGAATTCCACTATCGGAGCAAAAGTACAATGAGCGAAGGCATGGGCAAAGAATATACACCTAAGGGTGTGTTAAATCGCTAACTCCAAAAATTCAGCCACAATCCGTCGGGCCGTTTTTGCGAAGGTAACCAGTTTGCGACAATCATAAGTCAAGTGGCGACCGTCGCAAATTTCGTAAAAAGAAATACGAATTTTATAGCTGTTTGAAAATTCGACACGAAAACGACGCCGAGTCGACTCCAAAACAGCCATGTAGTCGACACAGTGTGCGGCAAACTCCTGCGACAGCATTTGTGATCGCGTCAAATGAGAAATATTGCCGTCAGAAGTGCGACCCCGTCGCACATACTAACCTACTGTAGTAACCACAATTTTAACAACTTTTCCGAACCAGCCTGCAATTCAGCCACCAAAGTTGTTAAATTGCCAAAACTGTAAACTTTGGCTGTTAAAGAGTCGACTTTGATTTGGCCACCTCGTCGTTGTTCGTGAAAATTATGACGACCATTTGGTCGTCGAAAATTCGGCCACACGCCATTTTCCGAATTATGTGACGATTTAACACGCCCTAACTCGCGTCAATTTCAATACCTGGGCCCTGGGTCGCGTTTCTTGACGTTTTCCCCTCGGGTTGAAATTGGTGGGAACCAAAAATTTCCCCTCAATTTCGACACTATGACGGAAAATATATCGGTTGAAAATTGTTCTGAACTCTGTAACAGCGGTTGTTCTCAGATTCGTTTATTGAAATGTTGCTCCTTTGACAGAACCGCACCCGCCCTAGGACCACAGGTGGCGACAAACACGTTAAAATTGGGGGGGTTTGAAGTTGGCGCGGTTTAGGTATATGGCGAAACTATAGTGGTAACGGTAATGTGTAAAAATGGGGTGCGCGCCGGGGTTGGGAGATGTCGAGGCAAGTGTCCGGAGCGCAGGTTACCAACCGAACCGTGAGGTTGGGTCGCGTCGTGAACAGTGGCGGGAACATTGTCGAAGCGAGTATCACGAGTGGTAACGGTTTACTGTTGGGTGCTGTTGGCGGGAACAGTGGTGTACGCGCTGAGCACGGACGCGAAGCATAGAAAAGGAATTTCCCTTACACTACCTGCCCCCAAAGGAGGCGATCCTTACGAAAGCGCGTGTACATCCCGGAAATTGCGGCTTCGCAGGTACTCAGTGAGGACGGGGTGATTTTCAATCCTGTCCAAGGGAACCCATTTATCTTCGGCGGACGTGTGGTCTTTCTTGCATATCAGGAATTCGATTATGCGAGCTCCACGTGGGTCACGAACTCGGTGGCTCAAGATTTTCTCAGGCGTGATGATTGGCTCTGTTGGCGTTCGTGTCATGCTAGTTGGGCGGTTGCAAGCCAGTTGGGTGGTGGATGGCACGTATGGGCAAAGCAGGCTAATGTGGAATGACGGGCTGGCGTACCGGTCAGCAGAGAGGAGGAGGTGGGCGGTGACGGGTGTGATCATGTGGCTGATGTAAAAGGCCCGCAATATCAGGGGCGGAGTTTTGGCATGATGGGTAGGCGGGGGTTTTGAGTGTCGAGTAATACGAGGTCGTCAGACTGGTAAGTAACAGGTTGGCGGTGGCGGTCGGCGTTCCGCTTAGCGATGATGTTTGATTTTTTTATTGTGTCTGCTTCTCGAGTCCGTGCTGCTTGTAAAGTTTCTGCGAATTGTAGCGCGCATGGCACCGGGTTGTCGGGATTCGCGGTCATGGGTACTGTGGGGTCTTGATCGTAGTTCAGGTAAAACGGTGACTATTGGGTCGTGGCGGACGACGAATTGTTGTACGCGGACTCGATGAGTGGCAGTTGCTGTTCCAAGATGCTCGGGTCGTTGCACGTGGCTCGGATGAGTTGCTCCATTGTCTGATTTGTCTGTTCTGTCTGCCCATCGATTTCGGGGTGGTACGAAGAACTAAACCATAGTCGCGTGCCGAACTGCTACCATAGGTTTCGCCAAAAGTTGTTGGTGAATTTCGTGTCACGGTCGCTGATGATCGCTGCTGGTATCCCGTGTAGTCGAACGACGGTGGAGATGAAGAGGCGGGCTGATTCTTCCGCTGTGATTGATTTCTCGCAGGCTGCGAAATGTGCCATTTTCGTCAGCCGATCGACGACGACCAGGATCGTGTCGTTCCTGCTTGCTACAGCCGGTAACCCCGTGACAAAGTCCATCGTCACCTGCTGCCAAGCACCCTCTTGGGGTGGTATCGGCTGTAACTATCCTGCCAGACGCTTCCGTGATGATTTCATTAATTGGCAGGTAGGAGACGATGCCACGTGTCGTTGTACGTCGGTCAACATCTCGGGCGAGTAATAATACCGCTGCAGCTGGTGCCGTATTTCCTCTACTCTGAAATGGCATGAGGTAACTCTGTCGTGTGCCTCCTATAGAAGTAATTCCCGTAGTAACGTGTAGCCCGGTACCCATGCGGTCGGTGCCGCCTTTTATGTAGTAAACCCCCTTTGCTGCTGCGAATCTCCTCGTGTGAAGAATGGGTCGGTTTGATAGCCGTGGGTAAATAGTCCTGTTAGGAGCAGGCTAGTCTGGGCAAGAAGTATAGCATGGATTTGGGCAGTAGGGCGAGTCAGTGCGTTGGTAATGTTCGATGCCCCTTTTTTTTAGGTGACTGACTAGTGGAAGTCTGACTTGAGGAAATCGAGCCAGCGGATCTGTCGTGGGTTGAGGTGGGGTTGTGCGCGGAGGTGCTGTAGTGATTTGTGGTCTGTCCGTACCGTCACGTATGTGTAAACGGGAGTGGAGTGCTGGCCCCACCCTCGCTTGGGCAACGCCGACGACTTGGTCGGATGTACGAGAGTAGCAGCCGAGCGTTCACAGTGGAAGAGCTGCTCGTCAGGCTTCGTCGAGCTGCAAGGGACCGCTGTGGTGCTATCGACCAGGGAGCTCGACAGCTGCAAATGATTGGTCTAGGCGACGGGTGGGCCGTTGACCAGGAGGGGCAGTTCGACCGGGAGGCCTCGTCAACCTGCAGCTCAACCAGGGGGTCCCCGTCGACCTGCAGCTCGACCGGGAGCAGTCCGTTGATCTGCAGCTCGACCGGGAGCAGTCTGTTGACCTGTAGTTTGAGTGGGAGGTCGACGGAGCAGTCCGTCGACCTAACAAGTGAGCAGCGGTCGACGAGGGGAGCTCGGCGACAACCGCTGACGGTTCTGGTCAACGGAAGGGGTCCGTCGACCAGGGGGTAGCTCGACGGGAGTTGTGGTCGACCAGAGGCACCTGGTGGTCGACCAGAGGGACCTGGTGGTCGACCAGAAGCAGTGGTGGTCGACCGGAAGCACCTGGTGGTCGACCGGGTCGACCGGGTAACCTGCTCGACGAGATCTGCAGAGGCACGCGAACGTCGTCGAGGATGCGATGGCACAGGCAACTATGAGCTGGTATCCTGGAGTCGATGTGGCTCGTTAGGCGCAGACAACAGTCGACGGATGCCCAACGAGGCAAGTCGGGCCAATCGTCTGCGTGCAGCTGTGAGCGTCCGCACTGCTGTGTTCTACGGGGCAACGCTGGACAGTCGCTCTACTACAGTGTTGGCACGTCGTCAACCTGCTCTGTTGGCAGGTCGCCCTTTTGCAGTGCTGGCGGGGCTCCTCTACGCAACGCTGGTAGGCGGTCGACTGAGTTGCGCTGGCGGTCGACCAGGCTAGCAGCAGGGTTGCTAGGTGCCTGATGTAGTCATTGTTGTCATTGCTTGTTGATTCATTCTGTAATTCCAACTTTGCTAGTGGAAACTCTTGCCCATTTCTCACGTGAATGTGCAAGCACTATGGAACCAAGCAAAGCTACGATCACCTCTAGTAGTTCGTGCCAACCCCGTAGTCTAGCTCACTACCGTTGTAGAGTGACTCTCCG